ATATTCCCAATATACTATTGCTACATTTGCATAAAAGGTACCATGCACACTATTGACGTAAAATAGTAAATTCTTGCTATATTAGGAAAATTATTGATGTAATGTTCTTCCAATAACACTCATCTTTGCATAACAAGATAAAATTAGAAAAATTATTTCTACATTTCCCTTTCACACAATGATATATTAGCATAAGAAATAATGCTCATATTTGGTTAACAAATTATCTCTTAGTACTGGCATAACACATTTTGTGGAAATCAATAAATTATTTTGTTAATATTTTTGTCCTTTCAATGACACATGACCTCTTATTGGGATGGCAAATAAAGTATTTCTTACTATTTCTTTTTTTTCAAGAACATATTATCTATCCCAATTTTTGCACAATTTGAGAAACAAATAATGTCCTAAGGAATCTATGTTTTGATATTACTTCCCGCAGCACATCCCTTGCTCTGCAAGAATATTTGTGCTAAAAAGTTTAGTGTTGCCACAAATGAAGACGCTAATATTGAGGTCACATTACAGATAGATAATAGATTTAAGTTTCGAGTGTGGATCAATAATGAAAAACATGCTCACTCCTTTATTGATGAGATGGAGTGGGGATAGTTTTACATGACTTACTCACTGCAAGTTGGTACATAAATGTTATTGGATATAAGAGAACATGGTCTTATCATCCATGTGTGACGGTGTACCAGATTAGGGGTCACTCGCCACTTTGATTCCCGGCTTGATGGGTCGGGCTAAGGACCCCATGTCGATTCGCCAGTGGGCCATGTCAAGATGGCTCCATGGCGTACAGAAGGAAGCCTCCCGAAGACTTGAGATATACTCTAAGATGTTTAGAGATAATCTACAACATGTTCTCCTTAATACGTAACCGACTAGGTTGTAACCCTAAACCCCCAGTACCTACATAAACCGGGGTAGGGCTTGTAGGCGACACACAACAGTCTTATGGTAGATCATTTAAAGTTTGTACTTCATCCCAAATCAATACGACACAAGAAGATATTGAATTTTTATCTCTAAGGAGAGCCCAAACGTGGATAAAAAAACATTGGCAAAAAAAAGTCCCATGACCCGTAAGGCCATGCGGGCCTCTAGATCGGCGCCATTTAGTTAATCTGTCGTGCCCGTCACGGAGACGAGGCACACATGCCGGTATGACACGACCAACTTATAAACGAGTCTCCACGTGTTGTGCCGTGCCAGGCCCGTTTACGGGCGAGCTGGGCCGTGTCGTGCCCGGCTCACGGCCCGGCCCCACCCGTTGGCTATATTTGGTTTCACCCATCCAAAAGCAACCATGATGAACGGCGAGCGAATTCTCAAAAAGAAAAAAGAAAAAAGAGAGAGAAGATGAGCGGCGAGCGTTAAAGCCATGCGAATGAGAGAAGGTCTCACCGCCGCCAACACCCTTGCCGTCGCCCCGGACACCGCGATATTCCCGTGACCTCGTTGCGATGGCCACTCCCGGCAAGCCCGACCCGGCCGCTGTGCCGCCGAAAGCGCCGCAGCCGCAGCCGCAGCCACCGGTGAAGGGGGCTATCATGCGCCGCGTCTTCCCCTTCCTCCTCG